AGGCGGGTAGGCGACCCATGTAAAAGAGAAAAATGAAATTTGATACTTGTATTTAGATAGATTGTTAACAATTGAAAGCATGTTAAATGAAATTTGATACTTGTATTTAGAAAGATTGTTAACAAGACATTCTTGAGAGATTTTAGGATATCATCATGTACTTTAAGTTTGAAAATTTGCTACTTTGACAACATGGCCTAATCAATGGAGAAATTGAATTGGCAAACGAAGACACCTATCTGTGAATGCCATCGATCAAGGGCATTTGTATGGTTATTAAATGAACATTCTTTAGATCATTTTTCAAAAAAGATGAAGCTGTTGGCAAATCTAGGGCTGGGGAAAAATGCCGAAATACCGAAATACCGTATTTATCGTACCGAAAAAAACCGAAATTACCGAAAATTTCGGTATACCGAAAACTTCGGTACGGTATGGTATCATACCGAACTGTTACGGTACGGTATCGGTATGTAGGTTTCAAATTTTCGGTATTTCGGTATATACCGAAATACCGTATGTATAAAAGATTTTATACATAATGTATGTCTCTTGGGCTCGAAGCAGCCCATCTAAGCAGCCCATACATCCTTCGTTCGTATAAGCAGAGAGGCGGTCCAAATTTGAAGGTAAAGTCAACTGAAGAGCATCTCATATTGTCACTAACCCTAGTTTATGGCAACCAACTGCGACAATAGGAAATTCACTTTGCGATGGCGGAGCTTCAACACTGGTAATAACAGAGCCTCAGCTTCAGAGTGTGACCACACAGGGAAATCTCAGGCCATTAGCGAACGACGAACAGACTTCAGGGACGACGTACCCATCTGCGACCAAACGAAGTCAAACTACCCAGAGATTTGATGCCGGTGGAACTGGACGGCAATCTGCAACTACACACTCCCAGCAACTAAGATTTGATTATGGCAAGTTCTTGTTTTCTCTTTCATTTTTTGTTGTTTTCCGCAAGAGTCATGAGTTTTCTATGGTATTCGTTGATTTTTAATAACTGAACAAACTAATCTTTTATTTTCTTACTTTATTGTTTATTCCAATTTCTAATTTACCTTTTGTTTTACTTCAATTTGTAGTTTAAAATGAGCAATCCAGACTAAAGCCAACAACGGTGAAAATAAAGCAGTCATTGCATCGCATCCTCTCATCAGAACAATTACCTTTTGTCTTATTTTTTTGTGATTAAACAAATTAACCTTTCAGTTTAATTATTGTTTTTGAATTATCTTCTAATTGTTTAATGTGAACGAGTTTAAGAAACTGAAAAAATTGAAACAAGTAAGGTTTTTATTATTTGATTAAGTTTACATTTAAATGATGAATTTTAATATTAATATAATGGTATAGAAAGCATATTTCTGCATTTCATAGTAGATCTTTACATTCCTCTTGATTTTGATAATAACTACGGAGTAGTACTTATTAATTCATATCATAAGCTGGGCATGTTAGTAATCTTAATGACTTATTTGGTGCTTTATTTCTTAATGACATATCCGTTCTGGCCACACAATATCCTTACTACGTAGTTGATGAGAACTCAAATGGCTTAGAGTGAAACATCATATTTGGTCACACAATATTGCTAATTTTAATTAAGGTGACTGCTTGGTTTATGAGACTAGTCTTGATAACTTATTTATAATATGTTTCAAGAGCAGTTAGATTTGACTGAAGTATTAGGTGAGTTTTTATAAGTTCTCCGCTAATTCTTTTTCCACCTCTTTCTTTCTTTTCAGGGATCAAGAAACGATCAACCAACAACCACTAATTCATTGATCATATGGATTTCAGATTTTGGGCTCCTTTATACTATCGTATAATGTTTTATATGAAGTATATATTACTGAATTTTATACTTGAACTGTTCTTTTAAATGTGTTTGAATCTACTTCCTTTTAGAATTAATGTGTCCATACCATGTCGTTTTAAATGTGCATAGCAGCATAGCCTTTGAATGATTTTAACATGATTATAAATTAATTGTATGTCTTGTTTAAGGATTGACTATTCAACCAAGCAATTATACATGAGTTATTATTACTATGTAGCATTTATTATAAATTTTTATTAATAATTTTAGTGAGTTTTAGGTGTCATATATATACTACTACTATCAAATTTCGGATTTTCGGTATACCGATACCGTGGTTAAGTTTCGGTATACCGAATATTCGGTATGGCATCGGTATGAAAATTGTGATACCGAAATTTCGGTATACCGAACTTTCGGTATACCGAACTTTTCGGTACGGTAACGGTATGGAATTTTCATATACCGGTATTTCGGTACGGTATACGGTATGACATTATTTTTTCGGTATGCCATACCGAACCAGCCCTAGGCAAATCGCCTAAAATTTATTACTCATTATGTCTCGAATCCATCTTGTAAAAATAAATAAAACAGTTGTCGTTAGCTCTTTATTTTTGAGGCCGTTAAACCCAATGCTAGCTAAATACGTACTGCCACTTTAGATACATACTTGGATTTGAGAGATTCGTATTAATTGATAGAGTATGATAATAAATTATTGTAATATTGACTTTTTTTGATCGATAATATTGACTTATTTATTACTCCGTATTTTACTATGACATTTTACCACATATTTCACCTGTTAGCAATAACAAGAGGAAAATGATTTAATACAACAATTTAATGAAAATAGACTACGAATAAGCTCAATTTTAGAAGTTAAAGAAATGATAGTCAAACCACTTTAATAGTTTAATATATACCGAAAATAAACTAACATATTTTATGGAAGAACCCAGGCAAAAGTGGTACGTACGGTTACTAATTAATTGCAAATGTGAATTATGATGATACGATCCATCAGTGAGGGATATATATAGCAGTTGAATTACAGTTGTAACTAGTATTATCCATCTTACTATCTGTAAACTACAATTGTAAGCACATTAGTTGAATCTCTTATCAGGAAAAATGCTTGAATTATTATTCATTTGAGAAAATTAATGGATAATTTGTAGTTTAATGGATATATGTGATTCAAGCATATTAACAAAACTTTGTCACTTTACATTATCCATATGGAACTCTTATTATCCTGATTCAAGCATATTAACAAAACTTTGTCACTTTACTTTTTAAGTAAAAAATTTGTAATATCAATTAATTCTTTCTCCCCTACACAAATCTCAACTACACAATTTTTACTTTATTAATTCACGTGCTAGTTAATTTGCACCTCATCTCAATGCTATTGAGCACACACTATAAAGGGGTGTTTGGATCTGATTCTCAAAACTGTTTCTGCTGCTTCAGGAAGCAGAAGCAGAAGCAAAAGCTAGAGTGTTTGGGTGAAATTCCAAAATCACTTCTGATGCTCTAATTTACTCTCAGAATCAGTTTTTTTAGAAGCTAGTAGGTACCATCTTCTAAAAATTGATTCTGATTCTGCTTCTACTTTAAAAAAGAAGCAGAAGCAGAATCAGTTCCAAACACCCCTAGATAGGTTAGATAAATTGGATTTTAGTAGGGTTTATAATTATAATAGTCTGCGAGTAGGTTATTAATTTGTACTTCTCCTATTTTAATTTAAACGTTCTATTTCCGTTCCTCACGTTTTCTTGATTTCAAAACTTTTTCTTAATTCCATTATCTTACATGCTTCTTTATTACGGAGTACTTTTAAACGCAAAATTTCAATTCCTATACGGAGTATATGTTTACTTGTTTCCTTACTTTTGCTTAATTACATTATCTAAAATATTTCATTTTTACTTTTAACGGAAAACTGTTTCCCTTTAAGTAAGGGTCATCATGGACCTTAAATTCCTTTTCTAATTTACTTGTAGAGTATACTTCTACCGACCACTTTGTCATTTGACAATTTTATAAAGGCATATCTTGACACAAACAGAATAGTGTTTCCTTTTCTGGCCAACTCCGTGTTTGGTTTATTTAGAAGAGGGGAGGACAGGTGGGGGCGTGGGACGATGGAAGAGAGGAGGAGTATGTGATGGGATTATATGTGCTTTTGGGAAGAGGATCGAATGAGGATATTATACGTTCTTCTAATTGATCTTATTCGCAATTCTGTTTATTTAAGATGGCGTAATAGGATGAAACTCTTGAAAGTTTTCAATTTTCATTTAATTAAAGTTCGTTTGGTAATCTACTTTCAACTTATCAACCAAATTTATTATTAGTTTTTGACTTCAACGCGTTGAAATGAGTACTAATCGAAATTTGTAAGGTTGCAGTTACTTTTTTGTCGCAATTGGTTGAATTGGTTGAAGGTACTTTACAACACGAGTTTAGTTATTTTTCATGTATTTTTTTTATTACTAAAATATATTTTATATATAATTTTTCCATAGTTCGATAATTTTAGCTAATCCCCCCCCCAAATTTAAGTGTTTTGAAACAGGGCCGCCACTACAAAAAAACACGGAGTTAGTCACGGATTTAGTCACGGACCGTAGTATAAAAAATCCGTGACTAACTTTGCTAGTCACGGACTTTGTCCGTGACTAAATCCGTGACTGTTTGGGCGTGACTAATTCTAGTCACGATCATTTTATCCGTGACTTAGCGTAGTCACGGCTTAGTCACGGACCGTTTTCGTGACTAACTTGTCACCGGAATAACCACACCGGCGACTTAGTCACGGCCCTTTCCGTGACTAAATATAGTCACGGACTAGTCCGTGACTACACTTTCAAATTTAAAAAAATGAACCGCCAAATGTTACGGTTTAAATTTTCAAATTTCAAATTTTAGTCACGGACTTGATCCGTGACTACTTTTTTATTTTTTAAAAAAAAATTAAATTTGCAAAATAACTTTTTAAAAATCGGTCTAGAATTTAGTCACGGCTTGGATCCGTGACTAAAGTTTTTTATTTTAAAAAAAAAAGTTTTTTTGTTTTATAAAAAAAATAAATTTATTTTTAATTATTCTTTAGAAAAGTTTATTTTAAAAAATATTTGTAGAATAAAAGTAATAAACAGACTACTAGAACACACATTTCATAACCAAACAGACTGAAATAAAAGTAATAATAAGCACAATAGAATTATAGTAAATAAACAATGTTCAAATAAAAATGTATATCATTTACAAGCTCCTCCGGTTACCATTATGATAATATCTAGAATCATCATATAGATAATTTTCTTCGGTCTCATCTTCTCGGTTGTCTCCAGCTTGGCCTTCTCGATTGCCACCGCGACTGCCTCCTCCGCGACTGCCACCTCCGCGACTGCCACCTGCTTGGCTGCCTCCAGATGTTTGAAACAGGTTGTGAAAATTGATATCCTGAATAGAACCAAATGAAGGCAACCCGGTAGCAGAGTTGGTACGGAAATAACCGCCCATGTGCGGAACTTGAGGTGTCTGCTCAGGGTGCAGTACATACGGTTGAGGCTGAGGCTGATTCCGAATTCCGGCGCTGAGGATCCGTTCCATCTCTTCCAGCCGGGCCCTTGTTTCTTCTTCTTTTTTGCGTTGCTCCTCCAAGGTGCGCTGCTGCTCAGCCAAGGCCCGCTGCTGCTCCTCCATCTCCCGCTGCATTTGAGCGATACGCGGATCCTCTCCGCGCCTTGATCGGGAAGGTGAAGCACCGCTGCGGTCGTACAAGATCCGTTGCCCCTCAGCCCCCATGCACGGGACCCGGCCCTTGTACACCCCAACTGCCTCAAAGATGGCATCATCCTCCACATCAGAATCAATCTCATCCTCCTGAGTCAAGCCTAATTCTGCCCGCCTCTTCTCAACATTTGTGTTATACTTTGACTACATGTACAAAAATTGTTAATTTAATGTTACTCAATTTGATTTTGAATGGAAATAAGTAACAAAATAGTGTTACTTACTTCGATTTCAGCGAGGCGGGGTGGCAGATCGGCATCGGACTCATCGCCGTGCTTTGTCCAGCAGTGCTTGATGACCTTGAGAATTGAGACCTTCTTCTTCTCAGGCCCCGACTACAATTTGGAAAAAAGGCTTAAGATCCATAATTAATTGTTAAAATAAAGGGTTGTAATTGTGTAAAGTTTTTTGAAAAATACTTACAAGATCTTCTTTATGTCTACTCTGAGGTTTGCGGCCCCCATGCCATTGGGTTTCTAAGGCTTTCTCGGACATCCGGTTTTTCTTACCGGATTGACTTCTTGCCAAGAAGTTTGGATCAGAAGACCAGTGACGGACGAGGTTAGCCCACACCTCATCCGAACACCATCCAGGCTTTACCCCGCTCGTTCGGGCACGCCTAAAAGTAGGACGAAGCCAATTTGAAATCCTAGCGTTATACGCTCTAAGAATAGCTGGACCTTGGGCTTCAGTCCATCGAAACCGACCCTTTATAAAAAACAAATAAATTAATTTATCTTTTATCAAATGTTACGTTAATACAATTACGCAGAGAAAATTCATTTTTTTTACCTTGAAAAGGTTCCACCAAAGTTCACGAACCTTGGGGTCTACTTCTGTGTATGCTGCCCAGTTTCCAAGAAAGTGTCCTCCAATTATGACTTTGATTTGGTCCAACACTTCTTGATCGCTTCAGAAAATTAATATTATTTATTTATAAAAGTTTTGATTACATTATGATACATTGAAAAAATTATTTCACGTTAGATAAAATTCATAGTTACTTACTTCGCAACCATGTGGGGCGTCACCCAAAGCGCATTTTCATTGTTGCGCTCAGCTTCGGTTAAGGGCACATAGTTTGGGCGGGTACGCGAGGTTGATTGTTCATTGCTCATCTAAAATATATTAATTTATATATTTAAATGTTAGTCTAATCATTATAGAAGATCAAATTTTTATACATTTATCAATTCAAAATGTGTAAAACATATTAAACTGTGTGTAAGTTTAATATGAGGGGTGGTAATTTTTTAAATTGTTATAAAATGTAACATGTTAAACTTTAGGCAAGTTTAAATTTTTTTTATTAAACTGTTTTTTATCAAACTGTTTTTCATTAAACTGTTTAATAAAAAAACAGTATATTATTAATGTGTTTTTAATAATCTATATTTTATATTTTATTTCGAAAAACAGTTTTTACTGTCTTAATTAATATTTTATAATTAACATGTTAAACTTTTTTGGAAGTTTAACATGAGGGGATATTTTATAAATTGTTCATATTTTAAACTGTTCATTTTTTGAATGTTAGTATGATCATAATAGAAGATCAAATTTTTATACAAGTTTTATCAATTGAAAATGTGTAAAACATATTAAACTGTGTGTAAGTTTAATATGAGAGGTGGTAATTTTATAAATTGTTCTTAAATGTAACATGTTAAACTTTTAGGCAAGTTTACATGAGGGAACATAAGTTTATTTTCGTACATGTTAAAAAATATATTTTTTTGCATTTTCGTACTATTTTTTAACTTTTCGTACTATGTTTTATAAAACTGTTTATATACAAAACCGTTTTTATACAAAACTGTTTTTATATAAAACTGTTTTATTTAAAAAAAGTTTTATAAAAAAACAGTTTATATAAAAATTTTTTTTATACAAAAACAGTTTTATATAAAAAAGTTTTATAAAAACAGTTTTATATAAACAGTTTTATTAAAATCTGTTTTTTTATTACTTCACTTTTTAATAAAAATTGTTGAATAAAAAATCTGTTTTTCATAAAAAATGAAAAACAGATTGTTTTAAACTTTAAAAATGATTAATATTTCACTTTTTAATAAAAAAAGTTTTTATTAAACGGTTTAAAAATAAGTTATCTATTAAACTGTTTTTATAATCTATATTTTATATTTTATTTTGGAAAGCAGTTTTTATTGTTTTTTATTAAAATCTGATTTTATTTGATTGCAATCTGTTAATATTATACTGTTTTTTAAACTGTTTTTTATTAAATTGTTTTTTATCAAACTGTTTTTTTTAAACTGTTTTTTTTGTCAAACTGTTTTTTATTAAACTGTTTAATAAAAAACAGTATATTATTAAACTGTTTTTTATAATTTATATTTTATATTTTATTTCGGAAAATAGTTTTTAATGTCTAAATTAATATTTTATAATTAACATGTTAAACTTTTTTGGAACTTTGACATGAGGGGGTATTTTTTAAATAATTTGGAAATAATAAATTTGATTGATGATAAAATAATAATAATCCTAACAATGTCTAAATAATTCATGCATAAGTCCGGAAAAAAAAGTTTGAAAAAACATGCATATTGTTTAACCTAAAATTAAATCATATTTAGCCATGCATATTAAACTTATACAAAAAAAATCAAATCGAATCAAACTATATCTAAAGCATGCGTATTAGACATCAAACAAAAAAGGAAAAATATATTTTGTCAACTTTGAGCATGCAAATTAATATTGTAATTCGAAACTAAAACAAAACTAAGAATTATGGAGAGATTAATATCGAGCATGCAAATTAATATTGTTATGCGAAATTAATATTACAATATTACAAAATTAATATTGTCATGCGAACATAATAATAGCATTCATTTGTATGTATAAACGTAAAAACATACACATAAATATGTAATTGTAGAATGAATCATTAAGGCATGCAATTTTCAATAAATAGAACATGCATAGGAGCATATAAACATGCATTTGAGTACATAAACACGCATTTGTGAGTAAAAAATTAATCGAGAAAACATAACCTTGATGTGGAGAGAGGAGCGAAAAAAGAGGATTGGTAGACGACGGCAGTGGTCGGCGGCAACCGGCGGCGAACAACAGCAGTGGACGGCGGATGGCGGACGGCGGCGGCGTTGCACTCAGACCGGCGGCAGTGGAAGGAAAGTTGGAAGAGAAAGAGTTTGGCTCGAAAATAGGGTTTGGGAAGCGTAGGTTTGAAAAAATCGCTAAGTGTTGATTTTATATATCGGTGTAGTCACGGTCTTAGTCACGGATATATCGGTGACTAAACCCTTCGTAATCAACGAAATCAGCCACGCGGCATCAGCCGCCTTTGACCGGTTTAGTCACGGTTTTATCCGTGACTAAGACCGTGACTAATTCAAATTTTGAATTTAGTCACGGTTCTAGTCACGGTTAAAACCGTGACTAGACCGGCGGCCCTGACACTTCTCCGGCTGCCAGACTGACAGGTTAGTCACGGATAATTCCGTGACTAAGACCGTGACAACTTGAAATTTTTTAGTATAAATCATCTTTCTCCGGCCCAAGACTAAACTGTAAAAAAAATGGCTAATAGAGGTCCAATTGACTGGGATTCGATGTGTAGAGATATGAAACGACTTAAGCTGATTACAGAGCTTATGGAGCCGAAAACCGTGGAAGCATACGAGAGAATCAAGGAGTTGATGTCTAGACCCCTTGAAAGTTTTGGCGATTATAAAGATGAAGAATCCGACTCGTTGGGCAAGTCAAAAGCAAGAAATTTGTGTCGGATGCTTCAACGTGCACAAGAAGTTTCAGAGTATATGGACCCGATCAACGAAGAAGCTCGAATGAAAATTCAGGAGTTGTGGGCTAGGCCTCTTGAAAGTTTCCGATTGAGGAATGAATAATGTTAGTTAGGTTAATGTGATAAATAAATCTATGTTAGTTGTTTGATAAATAATATGTGACAATTTCATTGTCTGTTTTGTATTTATCTTTGAAATTTGATAAATAAATCTCTGTTAGTTGTTTATTAATATCTAAATTTATTATAATATTCAGATTAGTAAAAGTAAATTACTTTTTTTTTAATTTTCGAATTTTGTTAATTTTCGAATAGACTTAGAATTATTAAAATTAATTTTCGAATTTCGAATTATTAAAAATTATTAAAATAAATTTTCGAATTTAGAAAAATCAAAAATAATATTTGAATTTTCGAATTTGAAAATAAAAGAATATAATATAGAGTAATTTCATATTTTGTATTGGGTAAATTTTAATTTTCAAACTTCAAATTGTGAAAAATTTTATTTTGAATTTATAATATGGATATAAAAAACTTGTTGTGGTTGAATTAATATGGAGTAATTTTTTGTTCATAAATAATAAAGATAAAGATAGAAAAAAATTCAAATATTGTTGGAGTAATATAATGATGAAGAAATCTGCACAAATATTAGAAGTCAATAAAATTGAAATTACAACAGCACAATTATTCGCTATCAGAATCGTCATTTTCTACATATACAGTATCTTCTTCTGTATCTGAACCGTCTATCCATTCACCTTCTTCCTGATATTGAGCGTTTTGTTGTGCTACATACATTTCCTCAATTTCGCGCTCAGATGGAATGGTTGGGTCCGGAAGGTGCGTTTCTGGCATGACTTCAACACGTCTGCCATTTGGATCACTTAATTGGATGTCATAGTTGACCGTCTCAACAATAGGCGGAGGTTGGAAAAATTGTTGCTGAAAAGCATCTAGATCAACGTCCTTGTGTTGAGTTTGTGATTTTATTTTGTTCGGACGGACAGGACATGCACACACCCAAGGATTCAGTGTCCTCCTTGTTGAAGGATATTCTGCATAATAAATCTGCGCTGCTTGTTGGGCGAGTATGAAAGGCTCATTTTTCGGGTACACACGAGACTGGTTGACGTCAATCATATTATACTTCGGATTTTTGCGCACGCCACGTGTGGGGTCGACCCATTTGCAATGGAACAGAACGCATGTCAATTTTTTCGCACAAGAAGGCATCTCAAGTTCCAGAATCTCCTGCAGGACACCAAAAAAATTGGTTTCCAAGTTATCATAACCGATGGTCGGGACACATAACCCGCTGTTCGTTGTTGGTCGGCCCTCTCCGTAATCGGCTGTGTGATATGTGTAACCGTTTATCACATATTGCCGCCACACTTTGGCACTGGCACTAGGGCCCCACGCTAATGATACTAACAAAGGGTCGACAATCCCACGACTATTGATCTGTAAATATAAACATGATAATAACATTAGGTAAATATTGAAAAATCTTACTTAATAATATATATATATAATTAATGTGTGTGTATATATATACTTGATACTTGTACCAATTTACAAAATCAGAGTCTACCAATGCATCAATTTGATTCTCAGGAAAGGCTGATAAAGAAGCTCTGAATTCACTGTGAATTCAAAAATAAAAAAATTATAAATTAACTACAAATTTAATTGATAAGTATTACAATTATAACTACAAATTTAACTTACTGATAAAACGGTGAGATTTCTGGACAATTCATGAGGATATAAGTATGTGCAATTTGCAATTCCCCACCCACGATGTATCGTTGTGTCGCAGCACCTTTACCTCTGCCTGGATAATTGAAGATGGAAACTACATTTTCATATAAATCCTCGCCAATGTCATCGTTCCGGGCAGGTCTCTTCCTTCTGGTGATGACGTCACGCTCGAAGTAAAAAGACGAGAACGTTGAGATTTCTTGTTGAAGATACGCTTGACAAATTGAAGCCTCAACGTGTGCCTTGTTGGTCACTTTCTTTTTCAGCTCTCCTAGAAATCTGCAATAATGCAATATAACAACGGTACACATGTTAACAGTTATTGTGAAATAAATATTCTTTTTTTAAATGAAATTGTTACTAACCTTTCAAATCTGTACATCCAGCGATAGAAGACGGACCCAGCAGTCAAAGCCTCATACGGAAGATGTATTATAAGATGTTCCATTGTATCGAAAAACGATGGAGGCATTATTTTTTCTAGATTACACATCAGAATGGGAACAGAATCTTGTAGTCTCCGGAGGGATGCCGCATCCAAAACGCTGGAACATATCGATTGAAACAACAAACTGATTTCAGTAATGCAGGACCATACGTGTTCAGGAAGCATCTCTTTTAGTGCAATTGGTAGAAGTCTTTGCATTATTACATGAGCATCGTGAGTTTTCATGCTCGTCGTCGTGGTAAGTTTGTTCATGTCTACGCATCTAGACAAGTTGGAGCAGTAGCCATCTGGAAACTTCTGAGACGCAAGCCATTGTAATATTGCTGCCTTTTGTGGTTCTGTGACCTGGTAGACTGCTTTTGGAACTTCCTTGCCCTGATATTCTAGATCAACAGAAAGTTCGGGTCTATCACACCAAATAGTCATATCTTTCCTAGCTGCAAGACCGTCTTTAGTTTTGCCTTTCAAATCCATCACCGTGTTAAATATATTGTCAAAGACGTTCTTCTCAGTGTGCATGACATCTAAATTGTGACGGATGAGAAGGTCTTTCCAATAAGGCAACTCCCAGAATATGCTCCTCTTTGTCCACTTATGGGTATCACAATACCCATATGGCTCTTGGTTTGGCTCTTCCATAGCCGTAGGAAAACGTTGAACCCGGTTATAAATTTCTTCACCGGTCAATCTCGGGGGTGGGCTCTCTCGTACCGCTCTGCCTCTAATGAAAGACTTCTTGTCCTTTCGATATCGGTGCCTTTCCGGGAGAAACTTGCGGTGACAATCAAAGTAACTTCCTTTTTTGCTGTAACTAAGCCAGTTGGCACCTGATTTCTCCATACATATCGGACATCCCATCAAACCGTGTGTGCTCCATCCCGAAAGCATGCCATAGGCAGGGAAGTCGCTAATGGTCCAAATGATGGCAGCTTTCATGATAAACATTTTATCTGATGAAACATCATAAGTTGGTGTCCCAACGGCCCACAGTTCTTTCATCTCCTCGATAAGGGGTTGGAGATAAATGTCTATCTTTCGTCCAGGATCCTTGGAACCCGGACAAATTAAAGACAAAAATATGAAATGACTTTTCATGCACATGTCGGGAGGGAGATTGTAAGGAGTTAACATGACCGGCCAACATGAATAGTTCTTGCCAAACCTGCCAAAAGGAGCAAATCCATCTGAGCACAATCCCAGCCGCACATTTCGTGGCTCCATAGCAAACTGAGGATGACAGCGGTCAAAGTGTCTCCAGGCTTCACAGTCCGAAGGGTGAGCCATCATACCCTCGTTGGTTTCGTGCTCAACATGCCATGTCATGTGTTTCGCAGTAGCAGTCGAAGCGTACATCCTCTGCAGTCGAGGAGCTATTGGGAGGTAATACAGTTTAGACAGTGCAGACCTATGTCGTGGTTTCTTTTTACCTTGACGAATAGGTTTGTATCTGTCTCCACCACAGAACTTGCAGAACTCAAGTGCCTCATCCTCCTTCCAGAACAACATACACCCTTCCGGGCACGCATCAATTTCAACACAAGGTAGCCCCAACTTAGACATTAACTGCTTCATGTGGTAATATGAATCCGGAAGGGTATGATCTCGCGGTAGCATCCCTCCTACTGACTGCAAGACTCTACTCATGCAAGTTTCAGGGAGACTGTATTCGGCTTTTATGTTCATGAATTCAGTAACGGCGGATAGCTGAGAGTATCCCTCACAATCAGCATACAGAGGTTGGTCGGCAGCTTTTAGAACATCCTGAAATCTCTCAGCCAAACCTTCATCCACATAAGGTTGATAAAATGTCGGATTTTCATCCGCATCTGGTTGATACGAGGTTGAGGCTTCAGGGGGGTCGTTAGGTGGTTGTGGGGGGTTGAACTGAGACATCGGTACACCGTATGCGTCATATACCATTTGTTGGTCCCACCTCATTTCAGCACGGTCTCCCCACGCACTCATCTCTGGAGGGACGTAACGAGACGAACCTACCGTTTGTGGTATAACAGATGGATCCAAAGGTTCGCCGTGAGAAGTCCAATTATAATAATTGGGAACAAAACCGACCGCGTACAAATCATACCCAACTTCGTGTGGGTCTTTAAATTTGAGATTTTTACACTTTGAACATGGACATCTTATTTTATCACCACTCATATAAGCCGGATGTTCAAGTGCAAATTCAATAAATTCCCCAACTCACTCGAGAAAATTTGATTGCATTCCGTACAATACCGCATCTTTATCATACATCCAACTTCTATTTTGTTTATACATTATGCCTGAATATTATAATAAAAAAGTATACACGTTCAAATACTAACAATAATACTAACAATAATACTAACAAAAGTATTCACTAAATAATCAACTAACTAATTTTCACTAAATTAAATGAAATGCACACAATTCACAACAATAATTCACAAAATATAAGTAATTACCTAATACTTAAATTTAACTAATATTACAAAAAATTTAAGTAATTTATTAACACTACATTTAAATTAAACATACGTTTAACTAAATTTAACTAATTCATTTAGTTAAATTTAACTAAATTTAACTAGTTCATTCCGTCCTCTTTTAATGCATCACTACGTTTAAAAACACGTTTAGCTAACTAATATAACATAATTAACACATCACTAGCTACGTTTAAACCTACGTTTAGCTAACGAATTTTAATTAAATTATTTTTGTAAACCTACATTTAAACCTACACTAAATTATTACGTTAATGACATTTAATGTTATTAGTACTACACAATTAACAATTCCAATTCACTAAATTAAATAATATGACCAAATTAAACCCAATAATTTGAACATGTATATAAGGTCATTTGAATTAATAAATAATACACAATTACAATAACAATTCACAATACACTTAATTAACACATTACTAACGTACGTTTAACTAACTAATTTCACTTAACATAAAGATCACTACGTTTAAAACTACGTTTATCTAACTAATTTTAATTAAATTATTTTATAAACCTAACAGTTTAACTAATTTTATGACATTACTACGCTTACAGTTGAATATGTTGTTAATTAATTAACAACATCACTAATTTAATAATTTTAATAATTTAAATTGAACCAACTAATTCTAAATAAAAATAATAATTCAAATAACATACCTTAACTGCATAAATGGGGAAAATGATAGAAGACAGACTACATCCTTCGATCTTTCAAACAGATACTGTATATACTGGGAATGAATTCGTGTGGTTCTGTTGAATGAATGAGCTGCTCCTGCATATATAAAAAATGTAGTCACGGACTTAATTAGTCACGGATTTGTCCGTCACTAAGCAAAACCGTGTCCATTACGCGTCCGATCCGTGTTAATGACGTGTAAATGACGTGTTAATCAAAGTAGTCACGGACATAGTCACGGACATGGCCGTGACTAAATTTATCCGTACATAATACCGTTGCGGATTGATTTATGCAAAATTAATTTTTAAATTTAGTCACGGCTGTAGTCACGGATGTGGCCGTGATTATGTCGCCGGAGTAAAACAAGCCAGGTCGGAAAAACAAACCGGCAATCGGAGGATGTTAGTCACGGACAAAAAGCCGTGACTACGTGTAGTCACGGCTGTAGTCACGGTCAAATCCGTGACTAATTTTTTTTTTAAATTTTCGTGACTAGTCCGTGACTAGGCTAGTCACGGACCAAATCCGTGACTACGGTCCGTGACTAAACGAGTGTTTTTTGTAGTGCGCTCTAGAGGACTAACTTTATTTGCTTTACCTCCAACTAGTTCCTAATTCCTATTAGCGAATAATATATTAGTCGATTTTTTAAATCCAAATAACACTAAATTAAAATGCACTAATACTGTGTGTTTTTACGTTTTGACCCAAAAAGCTTGTTTTAATCCTAGATTGCATTTTTTGAGTCTTGGTACAGTGTAGCTTGATTTAATATTAAGTGAACGATGTTATGTTGAACGGAGTACGTAGTACGGAGTATTATTCTTTTTTTTTTTTGCATACAGTTTTATACAAAAATGCTATATATCTAAATATAAATAATAATTTTACATAAGATATAATGGAAGAGAAATGAATCATGTTATTCATGTATTGCCCTACGTGGCTACATACCTAATTTTACATTCATTTTTTATTGAATACCCGTAGTATATTTTACCATGGCGACTATAGTACATGCAGTCTTGTTTATGCTTTGAAATCAAGCCTTCGATCACATTGGGCAAACGTTAGATTAGACGATACAAAAAAATTACGGGATTGACACGAAATTTGGCACGGACTTACCGATTTTTTGTGCCAAATAGCTCGTGCCAAAGTGTTTTTGGCACGGATTTGGCATATCACTGCCAAAATCCCTGCCAAATTCCTACCAAAATCCCCGCCAATCCCGTGTTTTTTTGTAGTGAAATGCTTCAAGGGGTACGGCAGTGTGGTCAGAAACATGTAAAAAATGAGCTACAATGATTGGCGATTTGAGTGAAGTGGCTCAAGCAAGGATAGATCATAAGAATTTGTGTAAGGATCGTATATCCGTCTCCGGCTCAGGTCTTTCAACACACACTCTCACACACCACACTAAGAGGAGGCTATAGCACACAACTCTCTACTCTCCACAAAGGACCTCTCTACACTCTCACACAAAGGAAAGGAAGAAGAAGGGAGCACTGCTCTCTCTGGAATGCTTTCTGCGCAGGCTGAGGCTCACAAGGAAGAAGCAAAGACTATTAATAGGCTGCCAAGGAAGTCACGGGTGAGGTCAATACAAAAGACACTCACATGCATCTTAGACAAAGGAAAGTCACAAGCAAGACCAAGACAAATGGAGTATGCAGCGGACAGAACACAGAGGGGCCAGCCAAGTGGGTAAGTCAACCACTCAAAATAGGTATATATTTGATCAGGATATATACCACAGTAAAGATATCCAAGAGAGAGTAAAATAGAGTGTGCAAGCCTCAACAAATAAAGTGGAAGGGAGGCCTTGGTAGGACCAATACCTCCAACATTCTCCACCTTATTGGTCCTAGGTGGTGTAGAGTAACAATACAAAGTTGTGATAAGACTCATCATCGCCGGGTCACCCGGAATATCAACAGACACAACGGGCAAACACTTTATTAGGCAACCCACAGTTATCCACAATCAAAGTTTAACACGCGTTTACAGGACAAGTGCTTCTCAGCAGAAAGACACTTGGTACCCATATCCGCGGGGTTAAACTCCGACGGGATCTTGCACAGCTTGACTCCACCTGCATCAACAATATCACGTATGAAATGGAACCTAACATCAATATGCTTAGTTCTATCATGAAATACAGGATTTTTGCAAAGTTGGATAGCCGATTGGCTATCCGAGAAAATGGTAACTCCCTTTTTGAGAAACCCAATTTCGGAGACAAGGCGTTTGAGCCAGATGGCTTCCTTAAACGCTTCTGTGGCTGCAACATACTCAGACTCAGTGGTAGAAAGGGCCACAATAGGCTGTAGTTGAGACTTCCAACTAATGCAAGAGCCACACAAAGTAAAAACATAAGAAGTGGTCGACTTCCTGTTATCTCTATCATTTGCATAGTTAGAATCAACATAACCAATCAATTCAATACCACTAGCACATTTAGAGAAAATTAATCCATGCTTCACAGTAGAAATCAGATATCTAAGCAACCACTTAAGAGCATTCCAATGGGGCAAACCAGGGTTGGACATATATCTACTCAAGCAACTAACCGCATATGCAATATCAGGTCTAGTGCTAACCATAAGATACATCACCGACCCTATTGCGCTGGAATAAGGCACAGATTTCATTTTCTCAATTTCAGGAGCAGTCTTGGGAGACTGGTCCTTACTTAACACAAAGTGAGATGCCATAGGGACATTAACAGGAGAAGCAGATAACATATTAAATTTACTCAAAACTTTTTCTATGTAAGAAATCTGATTCAAAGTAAGAGTACGCTTACTCCTATCCCTAACAATGTTTATGCCTAGGATCCTCTTGGCATCACCTAGGTCTTTCATGGCAAAATTCGCACAAAGACATTTCTGCACATCTTTAATAGCATTCAGAGAAGGACTAATTATCAGCATGTCATCCACATAGAGTAACAAAAATACAGGCACAGAAGAAGTATTTTTGAAATACAGGCAATGATCACAAACAGATTTCTGGAACTTCAAAGATATCATGCATTTATCAAATTTGATGTTCCACTGCCTAGGGGATTGCTTCAGGCCATACAAAGCCTTCCTAAGCAAACAGACATGCTCACTTCTCTTGGGATCCACAAAGCCCTCAGGCTGGGTCATATAAATTGTTTTATCCAATTCACCATGCAAAAATGCAGTAGTTACATCCATCTGTTTCATTTCCCAGTCATGGTGAGCAACTAAAGCAAGCATCATACGAATAGTGGTGAATTTAACAACAGGAGCAAAGATTTCTGCATAATCTACCCCCTCTTTTTGAGTAAACCCCTTCGCAACCAACCTAGCCTTAAACCTAACATCACTAGGTTCTTCCTTAACCTTAAACAACCACTTACACTCAACTACCGAACAGTTGGGAGGTCTAGGTACAAGGGTCCAAGTCTGGTTCACTCTCAAAGAGTCCATCTCACTTTTCATGGCACTAATCCATTTCTGAGACTCTTTGGAACCTAAGGCTTCACGGTAGGTCTTGGGTTCATTCAGCTCTAGGGATTCAAACACAGAAAATGCAAACATAGAAGTATCATGCACAATGAAAGCATAATCAGGCATACTATCAGCAGTTCTCCTGATAGCCCTTCTACTCCTATCTCTAGCAAGTTGATAATCATGCAAATTATCACTACTAGGCTCCACATGCAACTCATGCAAATTATTGTTATCATGAAAGTCAGATTCAGCACCCATATCATGCAAATCATGCTCAGTGTCATGCAAATGCTCCACCTCACTCGAGGTGGTGGGACTATCATGCTCAGAGGAATCATAATCATGCATAACAATATCATCAGAGATAACAGGATCAACAGATAAAGGACTAGCAGCAACAGGGACAGACTCCACCTCACTAGGAGTACTATCAGACCTAGACTCAGGATTAGAAGCAGACTCGGTCAAGCAAGGAAAATCAGTTTCATTAAACACCACATTTCTGCTAAGGACCACTTTAAAGCCTACCTGGTTCCTATCCCATAACCTGTAACCCTTTACCCCCTCTGGATAACCTAGGAAGACACACTTCTTAGACCTAGGATCCAACTTGTCACCCTGTTGATGTGCATACGCTGCACAACCAAACACCCGAAGGTTAGACAGATCAAGAGGCTTACCGGTAAAGACGGTTTCAGGACACTTACCACCAAGAGGGACAGACGGGGACCTATTAACCAAATAGGCAGCAGTAGTAACTGCTTCACCCCAGAATTTCTTAGACAAACCAGAGGTAGCTAACATGCTTCTAACCTTATCCAACAGAGACCTATTCATTCTCTCTGCTATCCCATTCTGTTGGGGAGTATAAGGCACAGTTTTGTGCCTTTTTATCCCACAATCCACACACAACTTATCCATCTCCTTATTACAGAACTCTAACCCATTATCGGTCCTAAGGGTCTTAACCTTCCTGCCAGTCTGGTTTTCAACTAGGGTTTTCCACTCCCTAAACCTCACAAACACATCAGACTTGTGTTCTAAAAGGCAAACCCACACCTTTCTAGAGAAGTCATCAATAATAGAAAGGAAATATTTCCTACCCCCGTGGGTAGGAACACTGGCAGGACCCCAAACATCGGCATGAACATATTCAAGCACAGACGAACACTTAGACAGATTAGGGTAAGAGGAAGGAGGGAAGCTGACTCTATGCTGCTTGCCTAACACACAAGATTCACAGAAAGGCACAGAAGTCACAGAGTCCTTACCAAAATAACCAGCCCTACGCATGACATCTAAACCCTTATTGCTCATATGTCCTAGCCTATTATGCCACAAAGAGGTCTTATCAGAACATACAACATTCACAGATTCGGCAAAAGGTTTAGCATGACACACATAAAGGTTATTCACCTTCTCAGCTTTAAACAAAACAAGCGAGTTTTTCAGGATTTTCATACAACCATTCCCCCATTTTCCCTGTAAACCACTACTCTCCAAAGCAGCAACAGATAACAAGTTATGACACAAATCAGGGACATGCCTCACATTCTTAATGGTAAACACAGAGCCACAAGAAAATTTCAGACATATATCACCAACACCAAGCACATTGCATCTCTTATTATCAGCTAAGGAAACGTAGCCACTATCACATAATTCATATGTAGAAAACAAATCTCTAAAGGGGGACATGTGATAGGTACAACCAGAGTCAATCAACCATTCATGCTCAGACAGGGAATTTCTCACAGAATTAACATGGTCACAAACCATCAAGATATCACCAAGGTCACATTTATCAACAGCTACACTAGCATGCTCGGTCTTCTTAGGGTGGGGGCAATCCTTAATGAAATGGCCAGTGTTACCACAATTGTAACACACTCTCTTCCTAGATTTACTCCTCTTCCTCCCAGGCTGACTAGCGTTCTTACCCTGACTATTTTGCTTAGGATTCTTAGACCTACCCTTAGATCTACCCCTAACAAACATAGCCTCACCGGAGTCCCTGGACTGACTAGCACTACCCCTAGCATGCTTCAGGTCTAATTCCTTACTCCTTAACCCATTCACAACAATGTCTAACGAAATCTCATCCCTACCATACTTAATAGCGGACTTAACATCATTATAAGAGTCGGGAATGGCATTAAGTAAAACTATGGGAGTGTAATCATCAATGTGTTTATCACCTGCCTGTTTGATATTTTGTATCAGTTTATTAAACACATCCAGGTTCTCATCTATATCCTTAGTCAGGTCAAGCCTAAACCTAAAGAATTTCTCTAGTAAGAACAACTTCCCGGGCAAAGAGGTATCAGTATAGAGACTATCCAATTTCTCCCACAACTCCTTAGCGGACTCAAGAATACCCACTTTCCTAAGCACAGAATCAGACAGATTCAAGTAAATAGTAGAACAAGCAGTTTCATTCATTTCAATTTGCTTAGCCTTATCTTCTGATTCTAGGAAAATACCAGTGACAGCTCTGAAAACTTTTTGCTGTATTAAAACACACTTTATTTTCTGTTTCCAAATATCAAAATCTGTTTTTCCATTAAATGGAAGCATACCATACTGATTCGCAGCCATGGTATCAACCACAAAAGGAACACAAAGCTAAACAGACAGAAATGACAGAAAATAATCCAACCCGGGCTATAAAGTATTCACTTTAATAACCCCGGGCAGCATGCAACACATAGCAAAAAAATGGACATTTTGGCAATTAAACAATTCCGGGCAGAAAAATTAAATTTAATTAATTCTACCCCTACCACCCAATAAACCACCCCTACGCATAACAATTAAATTAAATAACACAAAGCAATTTAATTAATTAACTAAAACAAACTACCACAAAGGAGTGAGTTTAGAAAACGTACCTGGGGGGTTGGCGGCCGGGATTAAATCAACCGGCGGCCCGCGGGGAGGGGAAAAAAAATATTAAATTAAATTAAAACCGGAATGTAACAAATGGGAAGTTTACAGAAAACTTACCTTCGCGAAACCCTAGGAGAGCGTTTCGACCTTACCTACCCAATTTTTTAAAAATTGGGATTTTTCTGGAGGGGTTGACCGGCGTTGACCGGCGTTGACCGGCGTTGACCGGCGGAGGTTGACTGGAGTTCAGCAGCTCCAGTCCAGGTCAGCAGCTCCAGCCCAAGTCCAGCAGCTTCAGCCCGGCAGTCCAACTCCCAGCTCCCAGCTCCATTAGTCAGCAACCCAGCAGCTCCAGCGGCCCAAAAGAAAAGGCCCAAAAGCCAATTGTAAGTTGTAAAGTCAGCAGGTCAGCACTCCATCTCCAAGGTGTGCACCCGTCCAGCCCCCTTCGTACTTCGTCTTCCTCTCCAGATGCGAACCAGCGACGAACGAGGTCGGCGAGCACCAAGGCGACCGGCGACTCCAGCGATGACTTCCGGCTGGCAACTTCCCTGCGGCGAGCTTCCCTGCGGCGTCTAGCTACAGCAACGAGTTCCGACGAGCTTCCCTGCGACGAGGATGGGAACCAACCTCCGGCGATGGGTTCCAGGCGGACGGCGAGATTCTCCGGTCACGACTGCTCCAGCTGCGGATGAAGCTCCAACGATAACCTCGAACGACGACGTACGGTGGTGTACGGCGGTGCACAGCGGCGGAGCGTTCCAGAAAGCGATGGCGGAGGTTCCACTTCCGGCGAGCTCGATTTCAGCAAGCAGGGACCACGGCGAGAACGTGTGAACGACCAGGCAGCTCCAAGTCCTTCGGCGAGCTCCAATCGACGGCGGTGGCTGACGGCGGCGGCAGACGGCGGCGGACGGCGGCAGACGGCGGTTCCGTCTCTGATACCACTGTAAGGATCGTATATCCGTCTCCGGCTCAGGTCTTTCAACACACACTCTCACACACCACACTAAGAGGAGGCTATAGCACACAACTCTCTACTCTCCACAAAGGACCTCTCTACACTCTCACACAAAGGAAAGGAAGAAGAAGGGAGCACTGCTCTCTCTGGAATGCTTTCTGCGCAGGCTGAGGCTCACAAGGAAGAAGCAAAGACTATTAATAGGCTGCCAAGGAAGTCACGGGTGAGGTCAATACAAAAGACACTCACATGCATCTTAGACAAAGGAAAGTCACAAGCAAGACCAAGACAAATGGAGTATGCAGCGGACAGAACACAGAGGGGCCAGCCAAGTGGGTAAGTCAACCACTCAAAATAGGTATATATTTGATCAGGATATATACCACAGTAAAGATATCCAAGAGAGAGTAAAATAGAGTGTGCAAGCCTCAACAAATAAAGTGGAAGGGAGGCCTTGGTAGGACCAATACCTCCAACAATTTGTAATGAATAAAAAGACTTTAAAAGTCTAATGAAAATGAATAAATATTCATTCTTGGTATGTGTTTTAAAGATGGGTTGTACATCTTTCAAAAAAAAGGGTCGTACAATAAAGATAGTCAATTTAAAGGACTTACTAGAACATTTTAATCATACTCACTTGTTATTGAGAATACTCCAAGATTGAAAGTTTCTTCACATGCACCATGCCCACGTGAAGGAAAACTATGGTCTATGAGCGCCATACAGTAATTTTGGACTAGTAAATGTCATAAATATACGTACATATATGTACTATTCAACAAAAGGAAAACTTCTCTATTTACTCCTAAATGAGGAAATTTTGTACTTTGAATATGATTAAAGATCAATTTAATTAAAGAAGTCATATACGAAGTATATACGGAGTACACAAATGTTCAGGTCAGGAGTTCCTGACCGGAATCGCCGTCCGGACCGCGGCGTTTGGCCGCCTTCCTGGTGGCTTTTTTTGATGAAATTTTTATCACATGTTCTCCATCAAGTCTAGTTTATCCACACAAAAATTCAGCCAAAAACTCAATCATGAAGGTCGTCAAATAATTTTTGCAAGTTAACTGGTCCAGAATATGTATTTTCCGGACCAGTTAACTTGCAAAAATCATTTGACGACCTTCCCGATTGAGTTTTTGGCTGAATTGTTTTGTGGATAAACTAGACTTGGTGGAGAACATGTCATAAAAATTTAATCAAAAAAAGCCACTGGGAAGGCGGCCAAACGCCGCGGTCCGGAACTCCTGACCGGATCATTACTCATACGGAGTATATATTTTGGAAATAAACATATAATTATTACTTCTATTTAACCATTTTGTGATTTTGTCTATGCTTCATTTAGTCATATTTGAAGCAATATAATTTCTTGGGAGAAGTACGTAAAATGTACTTGTGGTTGAGCTCATTTTCAGATAGGGTCATGTGTTTCATTCTTTATTAAAGTGGTTCATGTGTTTGAATTCCGTTATCACCAGAGGGTCACGCCATTAAAAATGTCTGAAAAAGACCATTAAAAGTAACTCCGATTTTCAAAAGTGCCCGGAAAATTAAAAGAAAAATATCGAAAGGTGCGCCTCAATAAGACGGCCGCTAGGCCATCTTTCAGTGAAAAAGCTGTAATTTCAAACTACTCAATAATTGGCGTTTTCACTGAATTGAAATTAAATACTTTCAAACTTAACGTAGTAAATTTTATGATCAAACAGCTAAATTACCAAACATCTTCTGGCAATCTGTCAAATTATTCCACTAATCAAACTCACCAACAAAATCTCCTATTGACAACCTACTAACATAACCCACGTCTGCTAATTGGCAAACACATCCATAATTTGATTTGTTTTATTTCACATTATATTATACGGAGTACTTTTTATGTTTTCCAAAACGGATTCGCTATATATACCCCGCGAACAGACCAAACCATTATTGTCAAACACCAAGATAGATCAAGAAAAAGTTCATCTCCACCACACACCATCCACCATCCTCTTTAGGAGCTAGAATGGACAACAGAAGATTAAACAAGCTCTACCAAACAGGCGTAGTGATCAAGCAGATAGTGAAGAGATGTTCCAGCCTAGGCAAAAAACATCATGGCTACAACAACGACGATGAACTCCCTCTTGACGTACCCAAAGGACACTTCGTGGTCTACGTCGGAGAAAACCGGAGTAGGTACATTGTCCCCATCTCCTTCTTGGCCCGGCCCGAGTTCCAGCGGCTTCTCCACCGGGCCGAGGAGGTTTTCGGGTTTGACCATGACATGGGGGGCCTCACCATTCCCTGCGACGAACACGTGTTCCAATCGCTGACGTCCATGCTTCGATAAAGTATATGATCCGACGGCCGGAGATAGATGTTGATGGAGCTGCGATGTGAGGATGGTGATTATCCTATCCGATCCGATCCTCATCATAATATAGTCCAGGCAGGAAATTAATAGCCAGCTCTGATAGATTATTACGAGTATAATTTTTTTTTATTAATTACTAATTGTTTTTTACTGACTGGAGTTGGGTTTTAATCCTCTCTCGAAGAAATAAAAAAAAAAAAAAGAAAAAAAAAACAAACCTGCCGAGTATTTCGCAAGTTGTAAAGTTTGAAAGGATTTAATTTCCCCTTTTGATCATACAATTAATTGATTAATTAATTATATTGCACCATTTGTAGTTTGTACCTGTGAAAAACTATCGTACGTAGTCCGTAGACCGTAATTCACTTATTTAATTTCGTATGTCCAGAGTTGAATTGAATAAAGATTCAACCGGAAACTATATACGGAGTAGATTCCTAAAGAATTTAAACATTAATTTATTTATTTACAAGTAAACTCTCTAAATGAGTAAATGGAAGTATATATGTGGTTAGTTTGCTGTCAATATTTTTTTTATCCGGAGGTGGATGGAGGAGTCTGAGGTAAACAAGACTGAAACTTTTTTCAAGGAGTTTCAATCAGATACCGGCCTCCCGATCGAGACCAGCCTCCCGAAAAAGAGTAGGTGACCAGCAGAGCTGGATCGTTTCCTCACAATATTTTTTATTACATTGAACTTTTTAATATGATTGAGTTGGTTCAGTTTGAATCTGAGTTGATCTAATTTGTTCAAATTTGATCCGATAAATGTTGAGAATTTTATTATGGTTGAAGTCTGCTCTGATTTAATACTATCAGGAATATATAATTTGGTTAAATTTAATCGACCTGGTTTGACTTGGAATGAAAGTACTCCGTAATTGAAAACATGCATCTTGAATCCCAATACTCCAATCGCAACACTGTTACTGTTGGTTCGGTGTGGACTCTGTTTATCTTAGTAAACGCATTATTTTATGTAGAATCCGGTAACCTCCTTGTTTATCTATTTATTTAATTTTTTATTTTCATATCGCCATGCATGTCGTCATAAAATGATATATTCGAAATTTCTTGGTTGAATGTGTTATACTCTAAGAAGTGTTATATTTTCGTACAAAATTATTTATAATATGGAAATTAAATGATATGAATGTTTCACTATTGAAATTGTAAATTGTACTATGGCGTATGTTGGGCCCAGTTAACATCCGTTCAAGTGGGCCGATATACTACTGGGTTCATTTAGTGGCCAAAGTCCATCGTGACTGATTGAAGTAAAAAGAAGTCCAACTATTAGCCCTTGATAATTCAAAATAGAAGATAAGAACGTGGAAGGAGTCAAAGGCTAAGAGGGAGCGGTTTCACATGGAGAGAAAGTAGGAAAATGGTAGCTACACTTGGGGAATAAGTAAATTCCTTTGTATAAATACACTAGCTAAACTCCATTGTAACACAGGATCATATGAGATCATACACACACTCGAGCTCAGTCATTCTATAATGTCAATACTCAAACATAATTATTCTCCATATATATTCTTCGTATTATCCTTATTAATTCAGTCCGTATTTGGTTCTTCATTGCTTGATTCCCATTTTAATTACAATCCTTAGATTAGTTTATTTCCGGTATAAACAATTTGGCGCCGTCTGTGGGAAAATCTTGCAAAAAGAGAATCAATTATGGCTGAAAGCTCTAACTCCCTGGTGAATGAGATCCAAGCACAGTTGGAAGCCGTCCGAGAAGAGCTTCGCACGTCCAGAAATGCTGACGCAGAGCAGTTAGAAGCTGTCCGAGAAGAGCTTTGCACGTCCAATAATGCCGACGCAGCGCAGTTAGAATATGTCCGTGAGGAGATGCGTCAGCGGGTGGCTTTACTCCAAGGCGAGAACGACGCTTTAAGATCTCAGGTACAGTCGGTGGCGTCCATAACATCCAACTCTCGAAAGGAGAAGGAGGTCATGACCGCAGCATCAAGATTGGACATGGACTCCATACCGATCTCAACCTCCGCACTCACCTTCACAACCGAGTCTTTTCCGGAAATATCGGATTTCGATCCATATGCTGGATACTCCTCGGTGGTTTCGCAACTTGTGCCCTACGAACCCCTTGTCCCGGAAACGACTCCAGCAGCGAGCATCCCGATGTGTTTTTTCCCAGATTTGTTGCGGACCAGACCAAAGACATCAGGTGTGCAGACTGTCAACCAACAGATGCTGATCCCTATCACCATGTCGGCACCAGCGGCGCCTTTCGTCCCTCACTCCGGAACCGACACATGTGGAGGAGCGGGGCCTTCAACTCGTCCTGTCTCACTCCCAAATCCCTCCCAAATCCCAGAAGGAACCTGTTCCGGAATTTATTTGCTGAACCCTAGAGACGACAAGTTCTGGGCTGTGTCGACATGACCAGATGTGTCGACATCCAAAATCAAGGGCGTCAGGAACGAGAGGTCATCACCATTCAGTCAACAACCGAGCAGAGGATACTTCTCGAAGCGGTAGACCCGCAGTTGCAGACGAACATGACAGGACCGCTAGCCATCATCATGGAGGAATTGAGGGAATTGCGAGAAAAGGTTAACAGCATACCAGGGGTCCCTCGTCCATTTGACATGGCAACGAAAACTTGCTACGCGGATTCACCATTCGGACGACATATTGCAGACGTCGAGATTCCAAGGAAATTCACCGCACCATCAATGAAGTTGTTTAACGGAACCTCCGATCCAATAGAACATGTCGCTCAATACAAGCAGCGAATGTTAGCAATTTTTGTCAGACCCGACCAACGGGAGGCCTGTATGTGCAGGGCCTTCGGGACGACATTGACGGGTCCAACGTTGACATGGCTCGTCAACTTACCAAACGGGGGCATCAACTCATTTGCGGAGCTGGTTAACCTGTTCACCCAGAAATTTGCAAGCAGTCGGACCCTGGAAAAGCAAACCAGCGAACTGTATCGTGTGACCCAAAGGCACAATGAGTCCTTACGAGACTACTTGCACCGATTTAACAAGGAGAAGGCGTCGATCCAAAGATGTGACACACCAACAGCTGTGGAGGCATTCAGGAGAGGATTACGTGAGGACTCAAACTTATACAGGGAACTGACTAAGTTTCCATGCAAGACTTTTGAAGATGTCCAGGCCATGACATTGGCCTTCATCCAACTTGAAGAGGATCAACAGTCTCGCCTTCGGCTTGATGGGTACGAATGAGGACAACAGAAAGTGAGCACCTCTAGGAAGCATGATTACAGGACGGGAAAACCCTACGCGAAGAATGAAGATCGACCCGTTGCATCATCGACTACTTGGCTTGATGATCCTGGCCTGCCACCTTCTATTCCAACATACTGCTTCAATGTCAACACTGCTGGACTGATCAACGCCCTAGACAAATTGGGGGAGATGGTCCGATGGCCCAGGAAATCGGACAAGTTTTGCGGGCGACGAGATCCCAACAAGAGGTGCGACTACCATGACGACATCGGACACAACACTGAGGATTGTGTCGCTTTACGGAAAGAGGTTGCTTACCTCTTGAGAAACGGGTACTTGACGGAGATCATGTCAAAGTAGACGAAATCCATGTTGTACAGGAATCAGAAGTCGCCCGAAGATCACCAACGACCTCCTTCACCTCCGGCGCCACAAAAGGTAATTAATTTCATAAATGGTGGTTCGGATTTATGTGGACTAACCTACTCTGCAACAAAGAGACAAGCCCGAGAGTATTCCCGAGACAAGTCGTCACAGGTGTGTCAAGTCGTCCGAAAGGAAGAAGCGTGGAGAAATGCACCTATCACATTCGATGAAACGAATCTAACTAGTCTAAGTGATGCCCATAATGACACCTTAGTCATTACTCTTAGGGTGGCGAACTGTGAGGTGAGGCGAGTCTTAATTAGTTGACAATGGTAGCACGACTAAAATCACAACGTTGAAGACGCTGAAACAGATGGGATACAAAGAGGAAGACTTGGCTGTCTTTGGCTCTACCCTTTTCGGATTCAATGGCGAGCCAAGTCAAACGATAGGTAACGTTTCTTTACCCGTACATGCAAATGGTCTTAATTTGCGGGTGAAATTTGATGTAGGCAAAGATCTGCTCACTTACAACATGATTCTGGGGACGCTTTGGCTACATCAAATGGGGGCAATCCCGTCAACATACCATAAGGTGGTCAAATTTGTAATACCATGGGGAGTACAATCTATCCACGGTGACAGGGCCGCTGCTAAATCATGCTACCATACCGTAATGAAGCCGACGACTTCTGCCACAACTTCTGCATAGCAATTAACGGGCGACTTCAATCCGGTTAGGGAAGATGACAACAACACTAAAGACATCATCATTGATCCAGTCGTCATCCAGACAACCCAGATAGAGTTGTCCGCATTGGGAGCAACATGACAATTCAGCTGGATGAGGAACTTGTTGTTTTTCTGAAAGAACATAGAGACGTCTTCGCCTGGAGCCACGATGACATGACGGGGATTGATCCGCAAGTGATTACTCATAGGCTGAATTCAACCCCTTACATAAACCGGTCAAGAAGAAGAGACGACGTTTCGCCAGGGAAAGGAACGACATCATCAATCAGGAAGTCGAGACACTCCTACACACCGGTAAGGTCCGCAAGATAAAATATCCTAACAGGCTTGCTAATGTTGTTGTTCAGAAGAAAAAGGGTCACCAAAAGGGCAAAAAGGTTAATTGGAGAGTGTGCGTTGACTTCACAGATTTAAGCAAGGCATGCCCTAAAGATTCGTTACTGATGCTGCACATTGACTTTCTCGCAGATGCCACAGCAGGACATGAAATGTTGACATTCATGGACGCTTTCAGCGGTTACCATCAAATTCAATTACACCCGGATGACTAAGAGAATACCGCATTCATCACCGAGACAGGTACGTATTGTTATAATGTCATGCCTTTCGGTTTAAAAAATGCAGGTGCCACTTTCCAAATATTGGTCACCATGATCTTCAAAGATCAACTTGAGAAGACTATGGAAGTGTATATTGACGACATGCTAGTTAAGTCCAAGAAGGCGACAGACCACATTGATCACCTGCGGAGGTCATTCAAGAAGTTGCAGGAGTATAACTTGAAGCTTAATCCCGCCAAGTGCACATTTGGAGTTTCATTGGGAGAATTCCTCGCTTACATTGTCAGCGAAAGAAGAATTGAAGCAAGTTCAGAACAAGTCTGGGCCATATTAGACATCGAATCTCCCAAATCAAT